TTTTTATATTTTTTCATACATGCAGGTGGTAGTCATTTTTCATTACACATGGAGTTATTTCATTTGAATAATTTGAACACAAGCTAAATTTTTTCTTTTATTTCACAATATGAAAACCTTTTATTGCTATTGCATGTATTGGTTTTGTTGACTGACTAATTGCTGAATAGTTTTTAATTACTACCATTTATTTTTCAGTGTGTTCCCAAAAGTCAAACATTATTAACTATATGTATATAATGATTATGAATCTTTTTATTCCATCCTATTTAATTAATAGGTATTGGTTTTAATGTACACTGTAATAGAAATGGTACATTCGGGTACAGTACATTACCTTCCATCGCATATATGTCTATTTTTGTTCAGTACTGCCCTTTATATGCAAAAACATTTTTTGCATGCCACAAACCTCTCACTCCCATGATTATTGTGATTCAGTTGTGTCTTGCATGCCAATTATCATGGGACAACTCTCCACCAGTAGGAGTGGGACACACACTCTCCTGATGCATGTGACTCCCTCTATTTGATTCTACCAAACTGTCATTTGTCGTTAGGCAGTGCTATAGTTAAGATGTGTTTTGAATGTTGTCTTGTCATGCATTTTTCTTTTTAATTTTTTCATAAGAAGTGGAAAGATCATTTATATCTTTTACTACTGTTTTATTTTTTCAAGTTTTTAGTGATAACTTACCTAGGTTATTCTTGATTTTTATTTGCATAATTTTAATCATTTTGTAGTTTATGTTACTATATCGGAGGTTCTACCACCTGTTATTAGCACAATTACACAGGCTTCAGGTAGGGAGGACTCGACTGAGGAATTTTCAGGCTTAATTTGTTGGGAAGTTGAATATAACCTGTGTTGACTTTCTTCTCCAGATAGTTCTCAACTTTCTCTTGAACTTGCCAAACCTGTTCATGAAAACAATGATTTTGACAGCCTTTGTTCTCCTCTCAATTATGCTGTGCCTTCCCATGCTTCTCCTGCATAATCTGCTAGGCCTGATTCAGCCTTTTTAGGCAGGATTTCTCAGTTTTGTTCAGTTTAATCCAAGTACCCAATTTCTTACAATCCTGTTCCTTCCGTATTACCTGACACTCTTTCCTTCCAGTATTTTGTTTTCCCTCCTTGTCCTGATGACGAGGTTCATGCTAAGCATTTTTTTTCTCAGTTGCGAGATAGTTCTAGCATGCCTTGTGCTCCACAGGCCACAGATCAGTTTTCCTTGGTTTACCATCAGACAGAGTACCCCTTTCTGAATTCTCAGCATTTAAAATCACTACTGCCAGTATTGAGGTCTGACCCTGACAGTCCTATCTGTTTATCTCATGGCCAATTTTCTCACCTTCATCTTACCCTTATGACTCTCCTGTAGTACTTGTCCTCTAGGCACCTTCTTTCTGAGGCACTCCACTGATCACCAGAGGAATTTTGGGGATAACTTTCTCCTTTCTTACTTCAGTATAGGTGCAATTATCCTCCTTGGATCTATCTCATCACATGTGGTTTCTTTGCTGTTGGGATCTTCAGGGGAGAGACACTGTCTTGTTCCATGTTCATTTACCATCCACTTACCTTTGGGACTTGTGAATGACTCTTTTCTCCTTTTCTTCAATGGCCCCTTTTGGGGAATATTCCTGAAACTATGGAATAACATGTTGATTCTATGAGGCAACATTTGACCCTTTCGTTCTTGGTTGCTCGTTTGTCTCACTCTAGGCCCTTGCAATCCCCTGTTCTAAATCCAATACCTTTTTGTCCTTTACCTGTTCCTCCCACTAGGGATTCCATTTGTTGTTGTGTTTATCAGTGCAGGTCTCATTATTGGCAGCAGAACTGGTGACTATCCTGTGGTAGCTTGTTTGACAAATTTTGTTTCCCTCTGCCTGGAATTGCTACTGACAATTGGGTTCTTCAGTTCTTGCCAGAAAGACTTATCCCATTCTATTCTCTACCCCCATTGTCTCCCATACCCATATCCTTTGCATTACCTCGGGATCCTACTACCAGTCATTGTCTGTCAGAGGAGGTACGGACTATTTTGTCGCAGAGAGCTATCAGCCATCCTTCCTCAGGCTTTTATTACAGGCTGTTTATGGTCCCCAAGAAAACCGGATGACTGGCTTCCTGTTATCGATTAGTCCTGCCTCAATAAATTTCTGGATTTTCCCTATTTTACAATGGAGTCATTTCTCATATAAGGTGGGCTTTCTCTCTGGGATTGTGGATGACCAAGGTAGACATTTCGAATGCCTATCTGCACATTCCTATTTCTTGTCAGTGTAGATGCTATCTTTGGTTTGTCCATCACGGGGTTGTGTATCAGCTTCATGCCTCGACCTTTGGGCTTGCTTCTGCTCCATATGTTTTTTGTCAGGTGGTCGAAACTTTTGTCCGACTTGTGCATGTTCGGTGGTAGTGCCTACACCACTACACATATGAATGACTTCTGTTAGCTCATCCTGAAGTGGAATCTTCACACAGCACTCATCTCCTTCTGTCAGAAGCTGCTAGAATGGGTTGAATTATCAAGTTGAAGAAGTCTCTCCTGTCTCCTACCCAGTAGCTTGTCCACTTGGAGGGCTTTTTTATCAACTTCCACCTCTGTTGGGCCCAACTTTCTTCTCTTTGACTCCATTCAATGAAGCTTTCAATTTCCATGTCTTCATTGCTCCCTCTCTTACTGCTCACGAGGTTCTATTGTTTTGGGAATGTGGTCTTCTCTGGAAGCATTTGTTCCCTTAGGTCCTTCATTCTTCCCTCATCGACGATCTGCATTGGTGGTTGAATAAGGCCCACACATAATTGGGCGTACTGCTTCCCCTTCCTCACCTGAATTTGCATCTCTTCACTGATGCTTCCCTACATAGTTGGGGGTGTGTGTTGATCAGCAGGAGGCTTCCAGATAATGGTCTACGACTGAGCAATCTTACCATATCAACACCTTGGAGATTTTGGTGGTACAACGAATTTTGGACCACTTTCTTCCTATAGTCAGGAATCAACTTGTCATGATCCATTGTGACAATTCTACAGTGATAGCTTATATTAACCACCAAAATGTCACTTGTTCTCATTCCCTTTGCAGTCAAACTTTGGATCTACTATTTTGTGTCCACGTTCTTGGAACAAGTGTCCTGATGTGTCATGTTTTGGGTGCTTTCAACCTCATGGTGGATTGTCTTTCCAGACTGGACAAAAGTTATCCCACAGAATCGTACCTCAATCTTCAAGATTTCTGGTGACTATGCTCACAGTGGGGTAATCCTCAGCTGGATGTATTTCCTTCTTCCCTGGATGATTTTGATCATCCATGCCACTCCTTGTCTGGTTCTTTCAAATGCTACTTACTGGTTAGCATGTCCCTGGTTTCCTCGACTACTTCGACTCCATACTGCCCCTTCATTGTCTCTTCATCTCACTCTATCCCTTCTATGTCAACCTCAGTTACCAGTATTTCATTCTAACCTTCCTATCCTCCATCTTCATGCCTGGCATTTATCAGGTCCTTGGTGAAGAGAACTGGATTGTCTCAGCAGGTCACTTCCTTCTTAGCTTGTTCTATTTGCCCTTCCTCAGTGGCAGTTTATCAACATAAATGGAACATCTTCCACTGTTGGTCTTTGAGTGGGGGCTTTTCCCATTCTCGGCCCACTATTCTTCTTATTACAAATTTCTTAACTTGGCTGTTTGATCATGGGACTTAAGTCTGGTGGGTATGGTTGTATATAATGTACAGGGGCAATCGACTTCTGTTCAGTGGTATCTGGAGGTTCATGATGCACTCCAATGCTGTATAGTCCTGACCGAGGAGATGATGTTGCTTGGGAGTTGATCCATCACATTGCAGTTCACCCCTTCGATTGGAATCCCTCATCCTACCATCACATGGATGTCAGTTCCCAGTGACTGGTTTTGTATTTCAAGCAAGACCAATCAACATAACTCCTGACACGTGTTCCCTGTGTTTTTCCTATTCCTCACTCAGTTTGCTCCATAATCACAAAAGGGTATATAATGTTACAGGAGGAGATGCTTCTCCCTCTGGCACTCCACATCAAGGAGTCTTTGTGGCTTGAGGTTGCTGTTGCACAGTGGAGTTCTTATTGGACTGAGTTTGAGTATGATGTGACCTCCCACAGGTGCACATCTCTTACTGCTGTCAATCAGATTTCTGGATGTCTGGTTAGTTGTGGATTGCACATATGCCTGTTTTGTTTGCACAGTATATATTTCTGTTCTATTGAACTTGAGGTGAAGATAGTGTGAACTCTCCTCCTACCATGGATTGGAGGTTATATTACCATTTCTGCTTGGTTTTGGACTGGAGTTGACCTGCCGCGTATGCTCTATTGAGCCTTAACCACTCTACACCTTTGGAGCACATCCAGTTTCCCTTCCCCTACATTACTGTCTGTAGAGGATTTATCAACAGTCTTCAATGGAATTGAGATTATGATATAATGTGGTTTGGTTTCCAATTCAATTCTCTCCCTTATGGTTATATTGGAAGTTATAATTTTCCTATACTGAAAATATATTTCTGACAGCCACCTACCTCCTTTTGCACTTCCCACCCATCCTCCCCACTGAAAACCAATGCTTCCTTTTCTGCCTGAACTCAAGTGTTAGTTTGGTAGAATTGAATAGAGGGAATTACGAGCAGTTGGGGGGGGGGGGGGTTGCACTCCTATTGGTAGAGGGTTGTTGCATGATGACTTGTATGCGAGACACAGATAATCGTGGGGTATGTGGGAGTGCAAGGCTTGTGGCATGCAAAAAAATTATTTTCATATACATAGGTAAGTACATATTGGAAATATATTTATGTATATGAAAATTATAACTTTTCTAATTAATAGACACTTTCATTTTCAAGCGTTTTAAGATTTTTTTTATTGTTTTGGAAAAAAGGCAATAAATATTGATGTTTCCCCACAAGATCATTAATGTATAGATTGTTCAGTAATTTTTTTAATTTTTCAAATTTAAGGTTGCTGCCATGGAAGTCCATTAATTGTACCTGGTGGCAGGGTGTTTGTTTGGCCTGTGATTCAGCAAGTTCAAAGGTAAGTTCATCAATATTACTAAAGGTAATAAAATTTCTGTTAAAGTATAATTTTTTACACTACTCACAATTCTTTTATACAGTAAGGCTCTAGAAAACATCCTAAAAATTATTACACAAATTGCAATCATATCTGTTAAAAATGATAATTCAACATTAAGATTGGTGGTATAGAATGGTTTGTGAATGGAAACAAGAAATTAAAAGTAAGATGAATACAATTGCACTTGCTGAAAAAAAAAAGCGATTGTGAAAATAGAAAATATTAACATCTGTAGAACTGGGTTTAATTACTATGGACAAAACCTGTTTTATTAACACATCAACATGGTTCTAATAGCACCGTTACTAAATACAAAGGTTGTAGAATCATACTTTACCAGCATTTTGTATAAAGTAATGAAATAACCACCAAGAATTCTACATAGGAGAAACCAGAAGAAAATTGAAAACCAGATTAATCAAATGTAATAAAAAAATTTCCCATGTTTACCAAAATTGCAACTAAAGAACCATAATGTATTTATCAAAATCATTTTAATTTTAAACAAAGAATTAAATATCAAACAAAAAATCAAGGAAGCAATCTTAATTGAACAAAATAGCCCTACTCAAACCAACACACTGGGGTGCATTGAACAGAGTGAAATACATGTAATTTGTACCCACTTTATTTTAAGGTTTGTGAGAGATATTGTTAGGAAGCACGATTTTAGGTAAAGTGTGTAAGATAAAAAACTTCAGTTAGGCTATTGCAGACGAGGCAGATGTGAGCTAAAAGAAATTGAATTGCTAACTTTCAATGATGGTGATACTGATGCCTTATTCACATATATTTGTGACAATGTACTAAGAAGGAAAATAGAATTTACCAAACATCTCAACAAAATGAAAGATCTCTAAAATGAGTGTATAAGTGTTTTAACATTGATGTGTTAATGATAAAATTTGAATTAAGTACCATCTTATCCTTTTTTAAGCGTGATGAATATTTGAACAGAAGATTTTAATTTTTAGGAACAAGAAGTATTTTCTAAAGTATTGTTTTCTGCTCTTTTTCAGGATCTCATTGAACACCATCACTTTGACCATTGAAAGCCCTAAAGTTTATACCCAACAAGGTGTTCCAATCTCTGTTACTGGGATTGCCCAGGTAAAACAAAACAAACTGACACCTTCAAAGAAATTTTTCATTTTGCTGTGAAAATCTTTTTCATAATTAATACAAAATGTGTTTTGATACTGTGTTGTGTGTACAAGAAAGTCATATACAAAAAGTTTTTCTGTGATTTTTATATTTATTCTCCGAGCTAAAAATAAATGTAACACTTTGATAAATATATATGTGTGTGGTGATGTAGATGCACTTTGACACAATCCGCTTGCTGTTATGGTAAAGAATTAGATGGTATCATTTATTTATATTTTCTCTTACATTTTTACAGTTTCAATGAGTAATGGTAATGTGTAAGAAAAACATACTCTTCTATCATTGATTTATTACAGATACACCTGTTTGATAACTTATGTTGTGAGATTTGTACATGCAGATATTTCTTTAAGATATTAAAAACAAATGAATAAAACATTAAAGAGGTTGCAACTGCTTCAATATTTTTATTTTGCTTTTTTTTATCCTCAAAGAAAGCAGTTGCACCTAGTTTAAAAAACAAATTATTATCAATCACTTTCATTGTGTTCCTACATCATAAGGTTATAAGAATTGAAATATTTTGTGCATGTATATATATTTTTATTTATCTCCTTTTTTTGATAAACTAACTCGGTATTTTGGTTAAAGCTGTGTGGTTGGTGGGATTTGCTAAATGATTACTTGTCGGTTTTATTAATCATTTACACTTAACTAATTGATTATTCTCACATAAGACTAATATTCATATTTCCAACTTGCTTTTGTTTTTTAAAGACATTTTTGATCTACCTTTCATTTAATATGATAGGTATATTCTGGTTTCATTAATTTACGAATAAGTTATTTTTTTAAATTCTAAACTGTTGTAAATGAAAATATATCATGTACTTGATGTGACATAAAATCTGTAACAAGGTGAAGATACTATTAATACCACTCCTGGGGTTTCTCCCTACAAATTTGCACGACACTACTAAAACTACCAAATTTTCAGTGATGAAAATAAACATTACTTGATGACATTGATTACACATTAGGAAAATATGAAATATATCGTTTTATTGGACATTATTTTTGTATATGCCTTTTAAAAAATGTTCCAGTATAGTAAGGGGTATTGCATGACTGATGAGGGTCAGTAAGGTTGAGAAAAGAGTATAACATTGTTATGGAAAACAGTGATATTTATTGCTAAGTATACTAATTATTCATTAATCATTAAACACATTGATAAAGCAAAATTACAGAGAATTGGGATATCTGGCTTTGGTACACTACTACTAAATAAACTAATTAATTATGAAAAATACCTTTCCTTACATTTCATTAATATAACTAGTAAACATGCATGTCACAGTGTGTTTAAGGTAATATCTTATCTATATTATTATTATTAAGCAATATTACAGAGAATTGGGATATCTGGCTTTGGTACACTACTACTAAGTAAACTAATTATTTATGAAAAATACTTGTCCTTACATTTCATTAATATAACTAGTAAACATGCATGTCACAGTGTGTTTAAGATAATATATTATCTATTATCTGATAAATCTCTCCAATCTTAGAGAGAAAAAAAAGACTACAGAATTTGCTATTCGTCAAGAAAATTTGTGATGACGCTAGGTAGAAATCAAAGCTTTATAAGTATATTTTAAAACATGGCAATACAAAAAAAATATTTGTCAGTGTTTCTAAAGTTGTTTTTTAATTCTATTTTCAATTTGAAAACTTTTAAATAGTTAAGATGATTTTAAACTTTTAAACAAAGTTTTGAGACATGTCCAAGTTTAGAACGATAAGGATATAATTTCATATGAAATATGTAGTAAATATGTTTTTATTTAGATACTGATGAAACCTTTAGTGTATAACATTTTAACATACTTTACAATATACTTGAAAACATTTTTATATTAAACAATAAGTTTTTTGTTTGATTAAAGGTTAAAGTGCAAGGACAAAGTATGGAAATGCTGAGAGCAGCATGTCAGCAGTTTTTGGGGAAAAGTGAATCAGAAATCAATCATATTGCCTTGGAGACATTAGAGGGTCATCAGAGAGCTATTATGGGTCAAATGAGTGTTGAGGTGGGATCAGGCTGTTTTTTTTTGGCAGATTTAGAAACTATAATAAATATGTTATTTACACATGCAGAGTATTTTATGAAATCATTAGACACAATTTCACAACATTGTGAAATTCAAGTGTACTATTTTTTAAGAACACATGTCATGTTGTTTTTTCATAATTTATATAGGTACATGTCTTTTATTAAAAGAGAACATTAAAAGAGTGGGGGCTCATTGACAAAAAAAAAAAAGTTTTTCAAACATCATAAAGTGAGCCTTTGGTGTGGTGAAGTGTTATGGGGGACTGGATTGCCTCTGGTACACAAAGGGTAAATAAGAGATGTTAAAAAGCAAACAGATCTTTTTTTTTATATCCCTATTCTTTTGGTCTTAGACACTTTTAAAATCTAAAACTAAGCAGTTACTTTTTACATATTAACACTGGATAGCATTTCACAGTTGTTTTTTATTGTAAAGACCTACAAGTCCCTGTATTCCATTCATTTCAAAGCTAAAGTCTTTTTTAATGCTTAATAACTCACAGCAAGGAACCTGTGAAATCAGGCATATCTTTTTGTAGTTGTTGACAATTTTAGTGACTGAGAAAAAGGGTACTTTTGAGGCATAAGGGCAGGGGCTTGAGCCCATCCGCTCACTCTGCTCCTGTGCATGTCAATGGAAGCTTCAAAATAACCCAAAAGAAGTTAAGCACTCAGCATTAAAGCTAGTTTACTGTTTAGATAGGTACAAATCATACTTAATTTCTTCACTGTTTAACCTATATGCAAAAAGTGTCTGCTCTTTGTATGTATGTTAAAAACAGTGATCAATTGACTAGCACCAAACAGTTATGTGTCAGTTATTTGTTTGCCATTTGTTGGTTGAAGTTTAGTTTAGCTGAGCTCTCAAAACACCATTTTTTTATTAATCATCATCCTCTTCAGCTTATTGGCTTAAAACTTTTTGTTTTTATTATCTTTTCTCCCATTTTATAAATCTGTAATTGCCCATGACACTTATAAGGGAATTATAAAATCATTTTCTAGTATTAGTAAAGAGGCTGTAGCAATGAATATATAACCAATTCGTAATGAATTATAAATAACTTTTATTTCTAAAATAAAAATAGTGCTTGGGGGCATATTTTTGATAGTTGGATTAAAATAATTTGTGATTTTATTCCCTTGTTGGGGACTTGTTACATTTTTTGGAAGATGTAATGGTAAAACTTCTTGTTGAAAATCTTTGAGTTTTTTAGAATATTGTAAGTTTAAGAAGGTGACAAACGTATGTTTGACTGAGAAAAAAATGGGACTTGGTTCATGTCTGAAGTTAAAGAATAGTGACTTCCAGTATACCATAGTTCTATTGGCTAATCTTTTAATTCCTTAAAATGAATCCCGAATTCCTGCCATAATAAAATGTAAGTTAATGAAACATAGTATCATATTTTTAAAAATCAAATTAAAAAAACATGATATAAAAACTTGGTCTTTACCACAATGGATTCCCTTTAGAATGCTAAAGGACTCTTAGGGGTGTGCAGAAGGCTGTATACTTTCACTTTCAATATTCATATCCATGAAGAAAATTAGTTGTTTTAAATTGTTTTTCAGGAAATATATAAAGATCGAAAGAAGTTTTCCAAGCAAGTTTTTGAGGTTGCATCATCAGATCTGATTAATATGGGTATTACTGTTGTATCATACACCATCAAGGATATTGGTGATGATCAGGTAAACTTTAATTATTTTGTAGAATTTCACTGTTAAAATCTTGTTATTGTTTTTTTCCTACTTGCTAAAATATAGCACTGTTTAATATTATATGCATTTTTATGAAAACTTGTATTAAAGATAACACAAGCATTCAAAGTATTAGATTAAATAGTTTTTCAGTCGGAAGCCATAGTAATATTACAACTTATTATTTTTTACCCATGTTGACTTAACTCTTTCAACACGGGCTTGGTCGATTTTACCGACCACATGACCTCTTTTTACTTGTTTCAAGTTGTAATAATTTTGATACCACAAATTTTTAATACAGTATGTATATCTTCACAAAATTTAGCAGACTTTCAGTAAACATTATAAGTCTTTTACATACATAAAATCAGATTTATTAGTGAAGTATTTTTTAATAAACTAAAAAAAGTTTGTCTGTGAATATATCAAGTTTTTTTTACTACCTCGAGTGCAAAGTGATTTTCATGTTAAGATTAAAAATACTCTCCTTCTCAAAAATCTCAAATTTTATTTGAGTAAGCTCTTAAACCTCCTAAATACATTTCAAACACTTGTTTTCAGAAAACTGTATTTTATCTGTTATTTTCTCTTCCCTAACTCTGTACAAAGTTGGTCAATTGGACCGACCTTGTAACCATCCAAAAAAAAATTTAAATCTAAATTATCCCTTTTTTCTTTCAAGAATGACTTCAAATTGTAACATGAAACTACATTTGTTTATTCTAAGTTGCTTTAAACTCGTAACAGCATACATCTATTTATCTTTAAATTTTATTGTTTGATTGCCCTTTTAACTGTGTCTAACTACTATTCATGCCATTATAAGTTGTAAATCACTTGGGGAATGTGGATCTCACGTTACGTTATCGAATTTCATTACCCATGAGCCTCTCAGATGCATGCCTCGTGGAACATTTTTATTATATTATTACTTATTTTACTATATTATTACATCTTGAGGATGACGTTGTAACGTCAAAACATGTAGAGTCGTCAACTTTTTAAGGCCTAAATAAAATGTTTTTAATTGTGTACCAGTTTAACGTTGAATATTATTTATGATTTTAGATGTATACTGTTATGCCTTTAAAGCTATTTATGATAAACAAATGTAGTTTCATTTTACAATTTGAGGTCATTCCAGAAAGGAAAAAAAAAGAGTAATTTAGATAATTTTTTTCTTTTAAGTGGTTAATAGGTCGGTCAAATTTACCAAGTTCTATAGAGTTAGAGTAGAGAAAATAACATAAAATATAAAGTTTTAATGAAAAAAAAACGTTGGAAATTTATTTAGGAGGTTTTAGAGATTACACAAATGAGATTTTTTCAGATGAATAAAGGTATTTTTAATCTTAACATGAAAATTACTTTGCATTTGGACTAGTCTAAAAAAATAGACTTGATATATTCACAGACAAATCTTTAATAAAAATACTTCATTAAGAAATCAGATTTTTTGTGTGGGAAAGACTAGTAATGTTTACTGATAGTCTGTCAAATTTTGTGAAGATACACGTACCGTATTAAAAGTTATTGTATCAAAAATATAATGAATACAAACTTGGCTGATTTGCCCAACCTTTTAGCAAGACAGTTAATGGGTAATTTTTATATAGGTTATAAGAAATTATTTACCTTGTTCTTTTCAGAAATATGTAAAATCATGATGTTTTGTATTTATCGGATATTTCTGAGAAAAGAATCTTTAGATAGGTGAAGTACTGTGAAAAGACTTGCAAAATTATGATGAATCTTATATCCTAGTATGAATGTAGTTCCAATTTCTGAACTTAATTATTTTAATTTTTCTACAATATTTCATAAAGTTAGTGTTTTTTTTTTTATACTAAGTTAAGTTTAGCATTGAAAAAACATACCATATACATATCCAAACATCCAGTTAAAGTAATTCAGTTATCTATACATTAAGTAAATAATGGAAGTACTTTCAGGAAACCAACATTTTTTTCAAGTAGATTTACTTTCTGTAGGGATACCTTAAGGCATTGGGAATGGCACGCACAGCTGAAGTGAAACGAGATGCTCGTATTGGTGAGGCAGAAGCCAGAAAAGATTCACAAATCAAAGTAGGTGAAATTAAGATTACAGTTTGTCTTTAAGTTAACAACCTGACATTAATTCATGTGAAGAAATAGCTTAAAGGTTTATTTGAAAAGAATTGGTTGGATAATATAATAATAATGAGAGAGGAGTAAAATTCATAGAACAGTTTTATTGGAGACAATTTTTCTTGCTGTAATTTGTCTTGTTTTTTTTTAAATCTATATTATGAGTAAAAACATTATGTATGTCAAAAAATACATAAACCTTACATTAGATAGTTCAAAATGTTTATATAAGAGTTTCATGAAATGAGTAAAGAAATAATCCACACTAGCAGCTAAATGGAAAGCTTTTGCACTTGGAATATTGAAAGATATTACTTTGGTTATAACCCATTTTTTAAAACAAATCTAAATGCATTTCACAAACTTCTTAAGTAAGTTGATCTCAAACTTTAACACTGTTTCAACAGTTTGGTGCATTTTATTCTTTGTGGGTTGTTTTCCATAGTTGTTGAGACTGTAGAATGTTTGAGAGTCAACCCTTAAAATATTTATTAGATTTCGTTGTTTTACACATTTCTTTGTGTGTGTTTTTAACTGAAACTGAGTATTTTCTTAACAACAGGAAGCTATAGCCGAAGAAGAACGAATGGCTGCCCGTTACCAAAATGATACTGAAATAGCTAAAGCTCAGCGAGATTTTGAATTGAAGAAAGCAGCATATGATATGGAAGTAAACACAAAGGTATGAATTTCAGAGTTTTTTTTTTAATGCTAAGGGAAAGACATAGGTTGATAAAAGACATTTATTTAATAATTATAGTACACCATTCTTTGCTTAGTCACATTTAAATCAAATTTCTTAGTTTTGGTAGAGGATTTGTTTGTCTCTTTATTTTGTGGTTTAGACATGTTTCCTCCTAGTAGCAAAATTCATGATTTTGGGTTAATTTCTACCCCCCACCCCCCACCCCCCACCCATTTCCTTCCAAAATAGAGTCAAAGGTGAGTCCTCCAACAAATAGCCAATCAGTACAAAAAATGAGGATATTTAACCAGTAAACAATATAAACTAAAATCATGTAATTTCTGATATATCTTACCCCCTCTCACATAATAGCTTTCTTTGATTTGTGCTGCCCTGTGTATTCTCAGTTTTCACTCACCACTAGCCTTGATGCTCCAATCTACCCTCACATGTTTACAAGTGATATAGTTGACTAGTTGTGGTGTAGCGTGGAATAACTCTCAACCAATAGGAGTGTGACACACCCTCCTAGTGCAGCTGACTCCATTTATGCCATAGAGCATTCTCATCACTTCTCTATTTGGCATTCATGGGTGTAGTTGTGCTAAACTTTTACTCAGTACTTCGCATTTTTGAACTTTAACTTTTAACTACCTTTTTGACAAGTTTTTTTTGTTATCATTTATATCTTAAATTTTCTTGTGGAATTTTTTTTTCTTTTCCACGCGATGAACTCAATTTCATGTAACAACTATGGCTTCTGGTATGGATCCTGCCACAACTGATCTAGTCATACTTAATACTACTGTGGTTTTGGGTCACACTTTTGACAGAGGAAGTCTTGGCCTTGGTGTATTGCGAATTAGTCTTACATGCAACCTGCAATGTCTCCTGAGCTGCAGTTGGATCTCTCTGGACAATCTTTTCCCATCTCCTGCTTTTGTAGCTCCTTCCCAAGCTACCCCTATGAATCTCCCTTGTCCTTCCTCAGCCTTTCTGGACATGATCTTTCAGGTTTACCTTTCATCTCTTCCTCCTATTTTGTATGGTTCCTCCCCCTCCCTCCTTAATTGATGTCCGATTATTTGGTTCTTCACCCCTCACCAGACATTCGTGTCCGTGTTGAACAATTCCTTATCCATTCAGAAACCAGTATGCCTAGACTTCCACATTTGGCTGACTTACATGCTTTGGCATACCATTGGTCAGAGTTTCCATTTCTTGATTCTCATACCTTGGAATCATTGATTTGGACATGAGGCTCTGATCCTGCTGCTACCCTTCGTTTTTCTCTGCCTAGTTTTCTCATCCTTATCTTACCTTCATGGCTCTCTTCCCTCATATGTCATCTGTTAACCCCCTTTCTGAAGCTATCCACCATTCTTTTGAAGGTTTTTTGGCAGATACAATTGCTCTTCTTTTCTATACATTGCCGTGTTTATCTTCTACTTCTGCTTTGTCCATCTTTATGTGGCTACTTTGTTGTTGGGATCTCCTTGGCAGGAATGCCCTTTTGTCACACATGCATCTGCTTGCTTGTTATCTGTGCGACTTTTTCCTGACTCCTTTCTCATGCCAGTCTGTTTTTGGGGATGCCCTTGATACTTAAGAGTCTTGGGTGGAGGCTGCACTCCTACGTTCCTCTATCTCCTCCCTTGTTTCTTATCTTTTCCAATCCTTTTCTGTTCCTATTCCTGTGGAACAGGTAGCAATTAGGACATTGGAGTATGAAACAATCATAAAGTTGTCAGAAAGGTAGCTAAAAGTTAAAGTGAACATAAAAGTGCAAAGTATTGAATGCAAATTTAGCACAACTGCACTCCTGAATGCCAAATAGAGAAGTGATGAGAGTGCTCTACAGTATAAATGGAGTCAGCTGCACTTGAAGGGTGTGTCGCACTCCTATTGGTGGAGGGTTATTCCATGCTACAGCACAACTCTATCACTTGTAAACACGTGAGGGTAGGTTGGAGCGTCAAGGCTACTGGCGAGTAAAAATTGAGAATATAGAGGGCAGCACAAATCAAGGAAAGCTATTATGTGAGAGGAGGTAAGTATTTATCGGAAATACAATTTCAGTGTAGGAAAATGCTAATATATGTTGGTTACCCAAAAATTTATAATGTTTCTATATTGTCTTTTAAAACAAAGAACTGGCAAATGAATAATTTAAGAAATATATATATATATCTTTCAATATAAGAAATTATATTTGCTACTTCCGTCAATGTCTGATACAAACAGATTTATATAAAAGATCCAAATGCTTCATAAAAGTTCATGAATGAAAGTATTATTCACTGATATGATAACTGCCTTGATAATTAGTTATCTCGTGCTTCACTGCAGTAATAAATACAGTGAAAGTGCAGCATGTTATCCTAGGCATAAGTAAATATTCCCTGTAAGTCAATGTTTTTCTTGGTTTAGGGTTTCTTTCATCCTTTTAGTAATTCAGGCATTGTTTCTTATTATTTATTTTCATGACTAAATTGCTCAGACATTGTTGAGGTAGAAATAATTCTTTACTTTTTTTTCATTTATGTTTTTTATTGAAAGGTGTTCAAATATGAAATATTTACATTTTTAAAGTTTTTTTCCATTACTTTGTAATATGCAGCATGGGAATTTTTTTTAACCCATTATATATGTATTCATACATATTCTGTAAGTGCTGGTAATATTTTTAAGTATTCTATGTGGAGGCATTATTGGAAAAAAAAACAACAAAACATATTTAACTCTAGTAAAATATAGTGACCAGCATCAGAAATGTTACTTTTTTTATTTTATTATTCTAATGTACGTCATATAGAAAGCAGAGTCAGACATGGCCTACAGCCTGCAGGCAGCTAAGACTCGTCAGCTCATCAAGGAAGAACAGATGCAGGTGATGGTGGTGGAGCGAACCCAGCAGATCCAAGTACAGGAGCAAGAAATCCTCCGTAAGGAGAAAGAGCTTGATGCTGTAGTGCGGCGTCCCGCTGAGGCTGAAAAGTACCGATTGGAGAAACTAGCTGAGGCTAACAAGTAGGTGATTTTACATACTTATTATTCTTAACGTTCTCACTGATGGCTTAGCAGTAAGTTTCAGGGCTCATAATCCCTAAAAATCAGGTTTCGATATCTGTGGTGGCCAGAACACAGATAGCACATTGTGTAGCTTTGTGCATAACAATGAAAAAAACAAACTCCACAATGTTTCTAATGATTATTACACGTGAAGGTTTAGTAATTTAAAATATGAATAATGGTTGTTTTGTTATGAAGATTTTATAGTGATCATTGTTTTAAGCCTAGGGTTTGCTTTAAAGATCACTGCCCTAGTTCTTTATTTTTATCTTAAAGATTTTAAGGTTTTAGAAGCTATCAATTACCCAAATAGTTATTGTAATATTCATTTTTATTATGATTTTATGTAGTTAACATTATTTGCTGCATATGATGAGAAAGTTGTGTGGAAAAATGTATGCTAATTAGTTTACAATTCAAATAATTTCTTCTATTTCATAGACTGTTTTCATGTACATCAAATCAGCAACACAAGTTTTCAGAAACAAATCATAAACTTTTCAACTAGTACACGTTGAATATTATAAAAATTGGACCTTGACTTGGTAAAAAGATTATGAAACCCAGAAAAAACATGTACCTAAATCTTCGTATCATTTTTTAACATTTTTTTAAATTAGGTAATGTATTTTTTTTAGAAACAAATCATAAACTTTTCAACTAGTACACGTTGAATATTATAAAATTGGACCTTGACTCGGTAAAAAGATTATGAAACCCAGAAAAATCATGTACCTAAATCTTCGTATCATTTTTTAACATTTTTTTAAATTAGGTAATGTATTTTTTTTAGAAACCGTGTTATAATGGAGGCAGAAGCAGAATCTGAAGCAGTTCGAGTAAGTATTAGTTTATGTTGTTTATTGTAAAAGTGCCATTTGTGTTTGATCTATGTCTCCATTAATGTTTGATATAAGTGTGTGTTTACCCTCACTGATGTTTCTGTCAGTCTAATAGCCAAAATTGATGTTTAATTGATATTAGTTGTTTATGAGCTGCTGAAAAACACTTGTATCACTGAACATTTCTGAAAATGTATGTTATAATGATAGGAATGATGCTATTAACCAAAGTAAAGGTATTTTATTCATATACAAGCCATTGAAAAATTTTAATTTTTTCCAAACATTTTGGATTGTCTGTTATTACAATGAAAGTAGCTATTCTTTTTTATGAAGTATTTCTTAATATGACTTTTTGTATGAACTCTGAATAAATTAGCTCAAAATATATTCTTATTATTGAAGTTCATTTCATTCTTAATTTATCAACCTTTTTCAGCTTTTGTGCTTTTTCTTTTTACATATAATTTGGATCAGGTTATTTTCTCACATCTAAATGATATACTCTGTGTAGATCCAAAGTTGACTGACACCAATTCTTTTATGTCTACAACTTGTTGCTTCACTTTACATGTGTTCTTATCAGTTACAAGACTGAAAACTGACTCCTGTATAAATTGCTAAACTTTTGCAGTATAGATATATAAATATTTTTAATTGTGGATCTAAGACAAAGTAAAATTAATAATTTATTTGAATAAATGTTTACCAATTAAAGGTGGATAAAATTGTACCTAGATTAATAATTTTCCCCTGTCTCCAGGTGGAAGTACAGCAGTAAGTTTACAGACTTACAGTGCTAAAATTCATGGTTCAATTCCCTGTGGTGGACAAAGCCTTGCCCTAACACAAACAAAAAACAATTTTTCCAAATAGTTTTGCTGTTGGTGAAAAAAGAGACTGTTTAACTAAGACTACAAGCTTTTGGTAGCTTTGGGACTTTAAGAAAAACTTTATTGTGATACAGTGTACTTGGAAAAATGATCCAGTATTTAAGCTAGAATTTACTTTATTACATTAACATAAGTATTGTATAATAACCATAACTGGGAAGCTTCTCTGGAGAGAGAGAAAGAAGTTGTAAACGTACTTCAGTATTTATTAAGTGTAGCAAAAAGATGTTATATCTAAAAGAAAATGTTGAACAAAATGTTCAACTTGTCAACTAAGATAACACATTAAATATTAAAGTTATGGTGAGAGTAGGAGAAATTATTACTCCATGTGACTCAGTGTTGTGATATAACTTTTATATCTTTCTAAATCTGGATCTGGGAAGATTTTATATGTAATTACCATCATTTAATTATTGTTATTAGTTTTCTTATAAAGGTAAATATTTGGATATTGCTGAATTGGTGGCATTTCAAGATACAGTTAACAAAAGTGACGGCATTCTAACTTGTGTTAACTTAGTGATCAGTTTCACACAAAATATTCAGTATCCATTAAAATTTTGTAAACAGACTTTAAATAGGTTATAAAATTACAATCGTAAACACAGAATTGATCTTGTGAACAAGAAGCAGGAATTTTGTAAAACTAGTTGTTTCTGCTCAAATTTTTTTAATAGTTAAAAGGAGAAGCTGAGGCTTTCTCCATTGAAGCCAAGGCCAAAGCTGAAGCTGAACAGATGGCCAAAAAAGCAGATGCTTTTAAAGAATACAACAAAGCTGCTATGATCGATATGATGTTGGAAACATTGCCGAAGGTGAGGATGGAGTTATTTCTCAGTTGATCTAAAACAGTATAAATTTCTGTCTTTTAACATTATTAAATTTACATACTGTGTTGGCTTCTCTGAGGTTCTGAAAGTGTATTTTCATAAAAAATATTAGTGCCAATTATTTGAAAAAAAGTTGTAGTTAGTTTTTAATGTCATACTTGAGTTGATTTTAAGTCATAACAGTCATAGTTACTATTTTAAACCAATAACAGAGGCAGGCTCAACTAGCTAATTGCATATTTTATCCTTAAACCTACCTGCTTTAATAATTTAATATATCTTTGCCTTTGAAATAATATAATCACACACTTGACTGCTATTGGTTAGGTTTCTAAAACCTGCTGGTTAATTCTGTTTTCATTGACTTTTAACTCAACTTACCATAATTTTGTTATTTTTTTTTTAAATTGGTTCACATTACTTAAGGAAAAATTTGAAATTATCTCGCTATGAAAGAAGGCTTAATTATCAAGTTATGTATGATTTAGTGCTGTTTCTTTAAAGGGGAAAATTATGACAGATTTTTAATTTATTTACAATTAAAACTTAATTGCTAATATTAATGTATAAGAGAAACTCATATTCTCTAATTTTAATGTATTTTGTTTTTCAGTACATTATTACTAGATGGGTCTTTCATTTTCTTTTGTAAACCCCCACCAGGTATTTTACAAGCCCGTATTGGTCTGAACCTATAAATATGAGGACAGTATTCAATGTGATAAGAAACAAGTGCTGTCAGTTATGGTTTATTATTATAATACAATAATCTTATAGCTTTCTTGCCAGGGTCTTTTATAAATTCATATAGGTTAGTTTAAAGCTGTAAACATAAGCTGGTGTTCAGCTTGATTAGAAACAAGTGCTGTCAGTTATGGTTTATTATTATAATACAATAATCTTATAGCTTTCTTGCCAGGGTCTTTTATAAATTCATATAGGTTAGTTTAAAGTGTAAACATAAGCTGGTGTTCAGCTTGATAAGAAACAAGTGCTGTCAGTTATGGTTTATTATTATATAGAATAGACTCGGTGCTTTCTTGTTAAAGTATCTCAATAGAAATAACATTTCTTGTACACCTTGAGCTAAATATTAGGTTAAATCTTACTGTATAAACAGTGTTTTTGTGAACTTTTAGGTAGCTGCTGAGGTTGCAGCCCCACTGTCTCAATGTAAACGGGTTGTCATGGTATCTGGGGGTAAAGGAGATGTTGGTGCCAGCAAACTGACTGGGGAGGTGTTGGATATAATTAACAGAGTTCCTGAAGCTGTGACCAGACTCACCGGTGTCAACATTGCTGATGTAAGTTGTTGATACTTTTGAAATTAAGGGTTTGACTAAAAAAAATGTTTGAAATGTCTGCAAACAATAAATTTTCTAATGATTTTTATAAAACGTTTCTGGGAATTTTACAAAACAACTTTAAAATATCACACATTGACTTCTGGTATTAAAAAAAATGTTTGATTGAGATAGGAAACAGCTACGAGATAAAACATTTTTTAAGGTTTTTATCAAATTTCACATCAAGATTACTTATAAACTACCTGTAGTATATCATGTTTCTGCAAATGTGTCAAACTGGACACATTTGTGAGTAACTCTGATAAATATCAATTCAATTTTGTGTCAGTTTATAAAAATACCAGAGAATGTTTGTACCAAGTAAGTCCATTAGACACTTAGAACTGATGATTTATATTGCTTAATTTGCATTAGAAAATTGTTATTGCTTTCTCTGATGAAAACATGTTTGCATTAATTTATTTTCCATACAATTTTGTGTTATATATAAATAAGGGTTTACACCAATCGCACGGGTAAGACCTAAAACATGGGGTTTATATTTAAGCTTTCATGCAAACCTATTACATTGTTTAACCTTCATTTCTGATAAATATTTTCTTTGTCTTTTTTTAAAAAAGAAATATAATAAATAAATATATTGATAAGTAAAATGTTATGTTGTTTTATATAGATCAAAAGTGATAATAGAAAACATTACTTATACATAAATATAAGAAAGATAGAATAAGAAACATGTGCAATCCAAGCATTAAAACAAGATACTAAACATTAAAAAACAGGAAACACAATTTTGTTTGCCTATAACGGGCCTTGATTAGTAATAGCTCTAATTATAGCTTGGCCGTTTTTGTTTTTCTCATACATTGAATGTTTTTAATTAGACAAATTACCTGAAAGCTCACTGGTTTATTATTTACTCTTTAGTTAACAATTTCTGTCTTTATTTTGTTCTGTATAGTCCCTGAGGATGGCACAAGCCACAATATAAAATGAACAGAAAGACACGAGATCATCTGGAAAATAAAGCTAGTGACATTTGATGGCTATTTTCGTCTTGGCATCACTTTTGATTTGAAATATGGGTAGTTTTATGTATTTCTCTTCTGAAAAACATGTTGTCCAATAAGAGTTTCATATTCTTGTTTGTATCAAGTGTATTAAGCAGTGTGTTTGTGCAGAGGTGTTTCATACGTTAAATTTTATTTTCTACATCACTTAAAAACAAAACTTTTTTTTAAATCGCAAAACCTGTTGTGCTTCTGTAAGCATATTCAAATGCTTTAAGAAACAAAAGCTTTGTAAATTACAGAGTAATAACTTGGTAGATAGACTTATTTACTTCTTATAAAAACACGAACTTTTGTCACCTTTCACTTAAAATGCTAGAGAAAGGGTGGAATAAATAACTTTATCTACTTCCATAAATGTGTTATTGTTTCAGTATTCACTGCTAAAGATCATTTATTTTGTTTATGTAAAAGTTCAGTTAAATTAAATAATTGTTTCTTTATGGTTAAAGATGCTTATATGACCTTTGCCTTAATAGTAGTTCATAAAACTGAAAATTTACTATAATAAATTTTTCTTATCTTTCTAGTTTGATTGTATGTGGTATTTCACGAACT